ACACACACACACACACACACACACACACACACACACACACACACACACGTGCCTCTACACACACATGTGCAATTGCACATCCGGGCAATTGCAGACCTCAGAACTAGGAAAGCAAATCCCTGTCAGGAGTGAATCCTGTTTTTTTTTTTTTTAAATGTGGGGATTAAAAAAAAATTCCTGCATATACGTCTGTGTACCGTGTGCATGGCTGGTGCCCAAGACAAGAAGACAGCGTTGGATCCCTGGGAGCTGGAGCCACAGGTGGTTGTGAGCTGCCATGCGGGTGCTAAGAATTCAACCCAGGTACTCTGGAAGAGCAGCCAGGGCTCTCAGCCACTGAGCCAACCCTCCAGCCCTTATGTGGAGAATTTTAGCCTATTTGGTTTTAATTTAAACTCTTGGCCTTCAGGCATGGTAATATAATGCACATGTGTCCTTTAAAAGAGCTTTCCCATTTGTCTGTCATTTTCCTGTGTGTGTGTGTGTGTGTGTGTGTGTGTGTGATGGTAACCGTGTGAAAGCCAGAGGACAACTCTCGGATGCCCAGTCTCGCTTTCCACCACCTGCACTTGGAGAATTGAACTGCCAGGCCTGGAGGCAAGCTCTCTTACCAGCTGAGCTGTTTAATTCCTATACTGAGGGTAACCAAAGTGAGACAGAGGAAATAGATCAGATGACTTGTCTGTGTTATTAGAAAAGTCTGGGACTTTCTAAGCTGTTCCCTTTCCTCCGCACACATCGTCCGATAGAAAAGGACCAGAACAACTTAGTGGACATGCTGACATCTGCAGGCCAGGCACTGTGAGGCTGAAGCAGGAGGGTTGAGAGGGTGGGGTTAGCCATAGCTTGGCTCAAAAAAACAAAAAAGGAAAAAAGGGAGGGAGGGAGGAAGGCAGGGGTCTGAGAGTACCCCAAGTTTCTAAGAGTCAAATCTGAGTGTTTAGAATTCTCTCTCTCTCTCTCTCTCTCTCTCTCTCTCTCTCTGGTTTTTTAGGTCAGGGTTTCTCTGTGTAGCCCTGGAACTTGTTCTGTAAAGCAGGCTGGCTTCACTCACAGAGATCTGCCTGCCTCCACGCCCCCCCCCCCCCCGGGGGTGGGGGGAAGCTGGGATTAGAGTTATGCATCACCGCAGCCTGGCTGTTTAGAATGGTCTTGAAGGTCCGTGCTCTTTGGTCTAGCTTGGAATCACAGGGCCGATTCCTAGCCCCGTCACCTACAAGGGAATGTATGGCCATCCTGTGTAGGCGAATAAAGATCCTCTAAAGAGAAATTTGTACCCTCTCTCTGGTTCTCAGATTATCAAAAATCATGTAACTCAAGAAACTGGAATTTCCCCAGGAATCTCAGGAGCTGGAGCCTGGTGCCAGCCAGACGAGGGGCTTGTTCCTAGAAAGAGATTCACACAGTTCCTGTCAGACCGAGTTGCAGGAGACTACTGGAGCCCAGACGCAGCTGGGCCATGGCGGGGCGGGACCGCACCTTGACAGGAGCGCATAGCTGTTAGTTGTCTGAGGGTGGTGGGGGGGGTCAGCGGATGCCTTTGCTCCTTTTCCCAGTGTGGCTGTGTTGAGCAATTTCCCGCTTTCTGTTTTTC